TACTTAATAAATATACACAGTACATATACATATATTATGTAAACAAAAACGTTTATTTTGGATGAGATTAATCTCGATTAATCATTTGACAGCACTAATAAATATATATATAAGTGCTGGGCAACGATGAAAATGTTTCATCACGATTAATCACATGATTTTCTGCAATTAATCGCGATTGTTATGCACAAAATTCAATAATGAATTCAAAAGTAGTGTATTGCCACTTTTTTCATTTAAAAGTACTGCAATATGAACAAAAGTGCAATAACATTTGGTTTGCAAACATTTTAAACAAATAAGGTGATTTCTTTACCGCAGCATTCCTTTTACATAGTAGCAGTTAAAATATTTCTTGTAAATCTCAACTTAAACATTAATGTAATCAAATTAAATATAAAACCAAAGCTATTTGCCACTGCCAGGGCATTAACGTTTTTATAGAAAATATTTTATAGTTTGTTATAGAAAAACAAGTTATGCTCAGAGTCCAGAGCCTCGATCATAACATTGTAACAGGTGCCTTCCGAGTAGAGCCCTGCACGATCGCGGGACCCAACGCAGCAGAGTGCGGCACGGGACAACACTTGATGGGCGAGTGCGGGCGGGTAGAGACTCGTGTGTGCTCGTTTGACTAGTGTGATCGCTCCGTGTTTGTTTAGCCGTCCCTGGCTCGGTTGGAAGAGGTGGGCCAGAGCGCGGTTCAGTTGGCATGTAGTGTGAGCGCACTTATGAATTCATGATTACGAGCTCGTTGCATTCTTTTCTGTTAAAAATAACAGTGAACAGTGGTTTGTGAATGTTGATGCTTAGTCTAAATAATTTTATCGGGAGCGCTGCTGCAGTCTTAGGCCCACCCCAAATGCTCTCATTGGTCGAGACGCGTGATGACACTCATCCCAAGCCAGGACTGATCAACATCCCACCCCTCCTGTGACCCATGGTTTGTCTGTATGTGTTTTCAGAGCCAGTGAGCAACAGACTTTCAAAATAATAACAATAATAATAATAATAAAAACACTGTGTTAGTGCGCGATAAAATAATTGTCTGCGTTAATTAATTAATGCGTTAACGCATTAACTTGCCCAGCCCTAATATAGATATATTTATATTTATATATGTGTGTCTATATATATATATATATATATATATATATATATATATACAGTGGGGAAAATAATATAATAGCAATTATGTTGCATACATTTACTAATAAAAAATACATGAATTTATAGCAGTGGTTCTCAACCTTTTTTTCCACCGGGCCGCACTATGGTCCAAGTGCATGGTCTCGCGGGCCGCACGCATATAATTTACATATTACGTCAGCAATACAAGCCAACCTGATTTATAATATTATAGCCTAAATATTATGATATCTAATCGATTACATTCATTGAAATAAATAATTCTACTCCCCATAAGTAACACCCAATTTTGTGAACTTCGGCTCGAAAGGGGTAACAGCACAATCATAGGCGGAGTTTCACTTTTATGCGTGGGGGGGCACCCACTGGCAGATGAGCCACGAGCACTTTTTTATATGTTCTACATTTCATGTATTTATGTAACACATATTCTACATTAAAAAATTAATTTAGAATGAACAATAATTGCTGTACAAAGAGTAAAAAAAAGAAAGAAAAAGAAAAAAACATACCTAATGCAGAAAAGCAGCCTCTTTTTCCGAATTGCGCAGATGACCACTATATCTTTCTTTCATCTCTTCTGATAAATTTTCAGTCAAATCGTTTTCTGTGTGCTAGATCAGAGCTAGAGCCCTGCATTTCAGCCCAGGCCCGACGGGCACCGACTTTTTTACGCCCCTCGGGCCGGGCTTCGGGACAATTTTCACGTCATAGTTCAGACGCGGGCAGGGCCTCGGGCCTGTTTTAGGCTTCTCCTTATTTTTATATTTTAGACATCCATCAATTAGTGATGAAAAAAGATTGCCGCGCTGGTGGAAACAACACTTTACAGTTACGAATGATGTATTACTCTTACCTTTATGAGCAAAAATGACGGTGTATCCACTGAAAAAAAATGCAAGTGATCGTGCTGGCGTCTCTATGTCCTGCAAAGCGCTCTTCAGCTTCCACTCTCTGCGCAAACTATTGGATACAGCGCACATTTATCTAGGTTTAACATTTAAACATTGTTATATGCTTGAACTGTTTTATATCTATAGATTTTATTTTAGTCAAGTCGTGATGATTTGAGAAGGCTAAATTGATCAAACATATGCTCACTGTCTGCCGCTGGCCACTTGGTCGTTACTTTAAATGCGTAACGTTAATTGGGCTATGTGAGTACTGCTCATGTCTGAAAATAACATGAAAAACTAAATTATTTTACATAAAAACATTAGGCTATAGCTTATATTTATTTAGTACATTTTTAAATTAATGTAAAAACTAAAATGAATTGTAAAACTGAAAGTATTTTTTTTTTAATTGTGTTCAGCACGGTGGGCCGCATTTGAATTCGTGACGGGCCGCATGCGGCCCATGGGTTGAGAACCACTGATTTATAGTCTAATTTATATAACAAAAACAATGATCACTAATTTTTACTAATAAACAAATAGTCTAACCCTAACAAGTAAACTTTACTTGTAACAAATTTTTTTTCCCAACATTTTTTCAAAACCATTCAAAAATTACTAAGAACAAAATATATTTTTACTTTTTTGTATTTCTACCATGTATTACCATGTACTAAATGTACTATGCATGAAATGTGTTACATAAATAAACCTGCCTTGGCTAAAATTGGACTTCAAGAAACACAAGCAGAATTCATTTCTGTATGTTTTAGAAAAAGAAAACTGATGTTCATTCACGGAGCCTTTGTCTCTTTTTCTCAACAGTCCACTTTCATTTTACACATTCATTGGTTGTTCTTAAAGTCAAGGAGGATATTGTATGAATTTTCTCCAGGTGTATATAAAGCAAGAAACTGATATAAACAGCATGTTGGAGTCTGAAAGCGCTCCACGAGAGAGGCCTGTACAGACGGAAGCTGACGATCATGGCCTCGCTCAAGGGAAATGTAGCTGTCCGTCATACTGGCACTTCCTTCATCCGCCAATGACAAACAACAGTTTATCTACGCCTCGGGAAAATATTTCACATGTCAAAGAGGAGACGCAGAGAGTAACAGAGTGGCAGAGAGAGAGAGAACAGGACAAATAGGAAAAATAAAAAAGTATAAAAAATAAAATACAAAAATAAAAATATATAAAATATTTAGAAAATACAATAAAATCAATAACTTTGGGAACAAACTGTAGCTGTCAATCAGAGACGCACCTGAGCATGAGGTTCATGAGCTGAAGCCCCTCCCCCCTGAGGAAACGATCACGATTGGCTGGAAGCATGAGGCAAGAACAGAGGGCATCAAACAGATTCTCCATCATTTCCTGTTCCTCCGCCGTGGCTGGATTATGACGCTTAAACACCTGCGAGGAGAAAAAAAAGGTAAATGTAAATAAATGAATAAAGCCTTTTATGAAGATTTTAGGAGCACATTGTGCTCGTCATCAAGACCAAGCATTATCAATAACTTCTTAAAAATGTTAATGAATAAAATAAAAAACATGAATAAAAATGTTATAAATTATTTAATTAATAACGAAAAAAGAAAAAATTAAGCCTTTTATAAATATTTAATGAATACATTGTACTTAATTGTCATGAAAAAGAAGCATGAACAATATTCTTGTAAAAATGTTAATGTATAAAAAATTTAATTAAAGAAAGAGAGAGACAGATAGATATAGTCAGATGACAGACAGACAGATTTTAGGAGCACATTGAGCTTAATAACCTTGTAATAATGTTAATAAAATACAAAATTTTAGTGAATAAAAAAACATAAAAACAGAGAGAGAGAGAGAAAAAATAGAGTTATACAAAGTTATAAAGAGTTTAGGAGCACACTGTGCTTTATTGTGATGAAAATTGAGCATTAAATGTTAATTAAGAATAAAAATAAATCTTATTTGTTCAGGCCAAAACAAAACAATACCCTCTCTTTATTTTATTACACAGATTTGTATTTAAATTATTTGCAAATAAGCAATTAAACATTGTCTGGTCATGTTGTGCAACACACAACCATCATCAAAGGGATGTTAAAACGATTGTGAAAAGAGAAAACAGCAGCGTGGAGCAGAATGAATGAAGCCGGCCGTATGTTCTGGGTCATGATGATCTCTAAAGAGTCTCACACTGTGATTTCAGACGAGGTTTGCTGCTCTTACACAGAGAAACAGACTTACTGAGAGCTGCTGCAGTAGTACATCAATCCCGTCCATTTCTCCCAACAGCTCCCTCGTTTCTGAGAGAGAGAGAGAGGAGTGGGAGGACAGAAATCAGTGAGAGAGACAGACATGAAGAGCAAAGATGATGAATGTTAGTTCAGTGTGCTAATAAAGCCTAGAGCAAGAGACGTGCATGTGATAAATGCAGGTACTGAGCTCAGAAGAGCAAAATTACACACCAAAACAACACAAATAATCAACAGCCTTATTGAGCTCCATTACTAAAGTCATACATCACAGCAGGAGTATGAAATCAGCTTGATTTTTACCAAATGCAATGTATTCTGTTTTAATTCTCTGGACTTCGTTTTAATTAAGTTTAAATAATAAAAAAGCATGTTTAATCAGTTGAATTTCTGGCTACTTTAATGGCAAAATCAATGCATTTTAAAGGAAACAAAGAGTTAGTCAAACAGTAGTAGTGAAAAACAACAATTTACAACCAACTCACATCAGTATAACAAACATTACATAAGATTTATCATTTCAGTACGGTATTTGATTAAAAAATAGGATATCTTGGATGGCCCATTTTGGTGAACTATTCCTTTAAATACTGTTAAGAGAAAAGGCCTTTTCACATCAGTACAAGAAGTCACAGCATATTTTTGGCATGAAAATCAGTGACCTCCAACGATACTTTTTTTTTTTTCTCTTCACTCTTGGTGTGAACAGCTTGACATTTTGCGATTGTGGGATTTTCAGTTGATATTAAAAGACATGACTTGTTATAAATTATGACTACATCATTTATAAATGCAAAAAGGAAAAGTGTTCAAAAGAAGTTTATAGCCAATGCTGATATCTAGAGAGCAGAGTGACTGATATAATGCTGATTTTACTTTTCAGAGTAATAATAATAACACAATTCACTAAACATTGTTTTTTTTTGGGGGGGGTTTTTAAGGAAAATCGCACATTTGTTGTCCATATTTTACTTTAAACACTAAATCCCTATTGTGCAGCACTTCATTTGCCAAAAAATGTTTCAGCTGAATAATGTAGATAATGTAAATGTAACGAAAATGAACATTTGCTGAATTTTTACTCGCCCTCAGGCCATCCAAGATGTATATGATGTTGTTTGTTCATCAGATTTGGAGAAATGTAGCATTCCATCACTTGCTCTCCAATGGATCCTCTGCAGTGTGAATGGGTGCCGTCAGAACGAGAGCCCAAACAGCTGATAAAAACATCACAAAAATCCAAAAGTAATCCACACAACTCCAGTACATCAGTAAACCTCTTGTGAAGTGAAAAGCTGTGTGTTTGTAAGAAATAAATACATTATTAAGATGTTTTAAAGGGGTCATATGATGCTGCTAAAAAGAACATTATTTTGTGTATGTGGTGTAATGAAATGCGTTTATGCGGTTTAAGGTTAAAAAAACACATTATTTTCCACATACTGTACATTGTTTCTCCTATATGCCCCGCCTTTCTGAAATGTGTCGATTTTTACAAAGCTCATCGTTCTGAAAAGTGAGGTGTACGCTGATTGAGTTTATAGCCAATGCTGATATCTAGAGAGCAGAGTGACTGATATAATGCTGATTTTACTTTTCAGAGTAATAATAATAACACAATTCACTAAACATTGTTTTTTTTTGGGGGGGGTTTTTAAGGAAAATCGCACATTTGTTGTCCATATTTTACTTTAAACACTAAATCCCTATTGTGCAGCACTTCATTTGCCAAAAAATGTAAGGAATTGTTACATTATAATTTGATTAGATTTTCAAATAATAATTACATTTTATACATTCATTTGATTACTACCATTTTCGATAATGAATTTGATAAAAGCTAAAACATTTCATAGGGCCCTATTAGTGTTAAAATTGTAAAAAATAAAAAAAATAAAAAAATATATATATACACGTTTTTTTTTTTTTTTTAGTAAGACCAAATGTTTCTTGGGAACCAAATCAGCATATTAGCTCATTCTGACGGCACCCATTCACTGCAGAGGATCTGTTGGTGATCCATAGTGATGGAATGCTACACTTCTCCAAATCGGATGAAGAAACAACATCATATACATCTTGGATGGCGTGAGGGTGAGGAAAAATTCAGCAAATGTTCATTTTCGGGTGAACGATTTCTTTAAAAAGATTTTGTTTCTCATTGAGCTTGTAATTATTCACTAGTCTTTAATGAAGCCATGCACACATCCAATCAAAGCAACCCATCTCTTATTTTTACTTACTGTCATTGTTTTGCAACAGGATAGCCAGTATTTCACTGCAGTACAGCTTATTGGCATCAAAAGGCATCTTGGCCTGTTTGGGAACACAACAAACACAAAGTTTCAATGTCTTTGGCAGCAGCGTCCCATTCGATCTGTGTGCCGTCTTCTCTATTGTCAGTGTAATTGCTGGTGTGCTGGATTCATGGAAGTCTTCAGGAAGCATTAAGACTTGAACAGCATGACGCTCTTATTCCAGCAGCCAGCGGTAAATCTGAGGAGGATTTCACCTCACGTGGATAAAAGACAGTGTGAATTGTGGCTTATGAAAATCTCAAATCCAGCTCAAAAAATAAAAATGATCGAGTTAAACCCGTCAGAACGCACAGCCAACTTCAAACCAGCTGACATTGTTCACTGAGAGGAAGAAAAAAGAAAAAAAAAAAAAAAAGACTAGTTATTTTTAAAATATATATCTTGTGCTTGACTTTGAACTTAAAGGTGAAGTGTGTAATTTTTCTGATGTCTATCCCAGTTTAATGCAGAGTCATCTCTAAGTAAGCTACTCACAGTCAAATATAGAGTGAAATAAGTGGAATCACTGATGCACTTTTAAAATACTGAATCATTGCTGTGTTTGTTTGAGTGGTCCATCATGACCATGTCTGACTAACCAATGGGTTATTATTTTTGCAATTCTGCGCACAGATATTACACAGTTGCAACATCCCTCAAAAATGCATAAATGCACGAATGCACAAATGAATAAATAAACGCATAAATACAAACAGTAAAGCAGCTCGCTGACCATGTAATCATGTATAGTTACCATTACCATAATCAATAAAGCAAAGTCAATTAAGAAATACCTGGAAATAAAAATAAATATATTTAAATAAATTAATAACTATGTTTACATTATTTACAAAACCTGTAAATAAATGTATAAATACTTAATGCTGAATGCATGATTAAATGCAAAAATAAAGTACATAAATGCATAAATGAATGCATATATAAAATCAATGCAAGAATAGATAAATGTATTAATAAATAAATAAATAAAATGCATAAATACATAAATGCAAATAGTAAAGCAGCTCACTGACCATAAAATCATGCAGTTACCATAATTAATAAAGCAAAGCCAATTAAGCAAAATGTGCAAATAATAATAAATTAATTTAAATAAATTAATAATGTGTCTGTGTACATATGTATATATTATTTACTAACCCTGTAAATAAATGCTTGAATAAATGCATAAATGAAAAAAAGCAAACATAAATATGTAAAATAAAGTACATAACTGCAAAATAAAGCATAAACAAATGCATAAATAAATTCTTAAATGCTTCAATAAATGCCTTAATAAATAAATGCAAAAAAGCATAAACAAATGCCTAAATAAGTAGATGCAAAAATTATAAATAAATAAATAAATAAATGCATACATATTTGCACAAATGAATGCACAAATAAAATGCAATAATAAATAAAATGCATGAAAAAAAGCATAAATAAATAAACCACACTCAGACTGGCTGTAGGTCTGTGCGAAGTTTAGTGGATGTAGTTTGAAAACACTTTCCCAGAGTTTGGTCACATGTTGTGGTAATTATGTTGGTTTGTCAAGCCAAAATAATAATCAGCCAAACTCCATCATCAGATTTCATCAATGAGCAGACTACATTCATAAAGACAACATGACCTATCAGTGAATGGAGTGATGTTACCTTGATCCTCTTCAGCAGCCACTGCATCAAACCCTGCTGGGCCGCTTCTGTACACAGACCGGGACGAAACTCGGCCATGTTCTCGATCACAGCTGCCACAGAAAGACAGAGAGATCTGCTGTTACTGTAAGTCCATGCTTCTCTGAAACGTGTGTGCTGTATTATGACCTAGTTTCTGCAGCGTCTGCTTCACCTAGTTGCCATTATAACTGATGGAGACACAGCAGTGAGATCAGAACACATTCACTCAACACATGAATGCAAGAACGCAGAAACCACAGCACTTATTTGACACTCGGTCCAGACAGCAACCAGGGCCCAGAAGTAAAGACGACCCGATGACCTGAAGTTTGGGCCTTCGCTATACTGTCAAATCAGTTTACACAAGCAGTAAAGAGCGACTGACCGTCAGGCTTGGACAAGCATTTAGAAATTAAAAACTGGCTATGATTCAACTCATGAGAATTTCATTACATAAATGCGTAATAATAAATGTTTACTAATTCTAATTAAATGTATTCTGTTATATAAAAAAATTAAATGCATAAATAAAAATGCATAAAAACACATAAATAGATCCTTATGTACATAAATGTAAAAAAATAGGCCTAAATGCATACATGCTAATGTGCATAAATAAGTCCTTAAAAAATAAGTGCATAAATAAATGTATAAACGAATGCTTAAAGGGTTAGTTCACCCAAAAATGAAAATTAGTCCATAAATTACTCACCCTCAAGTCATCCTAGGTGTACGTGACTTTCTTCTTTCAGACGAATCCAGTCGGAGTTATATTAAAAATTGTCTTTGATCTTTCAAGCTGTTTCATGGCACTCAGCGGGTGTTGCATGCATCAGTCCAAAAGAAGTTAAATAAAATGCGCCCATCCATAAAAAAAAGTGTCTCACACGGCTCCGGGGGGTGAACAAAGGCCTTTTGTAGCGAATCGATGCGTTTTTGTAAGAAAAATATCCATATTCAAAACGTAATAATCACTTTAATGTAGCTTGCGCCAACAGTTGTACACGGAAGCAGCTCCAGGCGGATGACGTATGAGGTCAGCGCTGCGCATGCGCCGGTGAGTCTCATGAAAACCAACGTTTGTTAACAGGAGCAAAGGAAGCAAAGTTTCCTTACTTTAGCAAAGGAAAACCAGTCTCCTCTTGGCTTATATCGAAATCCTCCGACATTCTTCTTTACAAATCCTCGTTTAGTAATTCTAATTAGTGACCGTTGTTTTGTTTTGATCTCTCCCTTGCGCTTCCCTGTGCATCATGCGCAAAGCTGACCTTATATGTCATTCCCCCCGGAACTGCTTCCAGTGTACAACAGCTACATTAAAGTGATTATTACGGTTTGAATATGGATATTTTTCTTACAAAAACACATCGATTCGCTACAGAAGGGCTT